CTATTTCATTATGTCAAGCTATCTTGGTAGAGTAGCGGCAAGTTGGTGTTGTCTTTCATGTATTGGTTCTATGGCGCGGTGGCTCTTTTCCTTTTTGATCACTTCCTTCACTTTGAAGTCATATTAAAGGCAGTTTGGGCGAGATGAATCCGTCGCGCCTTAAACTCCTTATGTGCGATATGGACATCGCGCATTGCTTGAGCCTTTAGTCTTTGGGCTTTAACCCTTGGCGGATCTATTGTATTTTATCCAGATCAATATATATATATATATATATATATATATATATATGAGAAAAATATTTCTCAAGTTGTTTGAGATATATTTATCTACGGCCAGCCCAGAACTATGTCGTTTTGTTTATTTATTTCCTTATATTTATTGATTCACTTTTGAATGGTTATGGTTTCTTTTTTGAGCTAATTAATGTATATAAGGTTTGGTGTGGTCAAAAAATTATAACTATGTATTTCCGCGAATACATAGTTATAATATTAAATTTGTTTTTTTTTCTCTATTCAAAATTATAACTATGTATTCTCTGAAATACATAGTTATAATATTAAAGTTGTTTTTTTCTCTATCTTCTGAACAACTTTTAAGACATTGCCAGGTGATGTAAAGAGAGAAAAAAAATAACTTTAACATTATAACTACGTATTCTCGGGAATACATAGTTATAATTTTTTACCACATCATTATTGTACATATGAAAAACCCAATATATATATATATATATATATATATATATATATATATATATATATATATAATGAAATTTAATAAAGTCAGTTACAATTAAGGGTTTTATAAAAGTTATGTTGTAAGAAAAATGATGTTTTTATGTTATACAAATTCGTTTTTCGTGCCTTAGTTTTTTTTTTTTTTTTTTTTTTTGCTTCAAAAAATGTGGGCCCCACAAAATATTGTATGTGTAAAAATTTTTCACCTTTTCTTGTTGCATGATGGATGCATACCCCTATAATCAAATAGGGGAATGATTTATTTATAAATTTTTGCAAATTATACTATGTACTTCCGGAATTACATAGTGTAACCTAGTGTATTTACGGGAATACATAATATAGTTTGTAAAAATTTATAAAACAAAAAATCAGTAAATATAATTCTCTCAATTTAAATAATATAAATAATGCAAATACGTAGTAATATATATATATATATATATATATATATATATATATATATATATATAGAGGTAGGATCCTTTGACACCAGTGTCAAATTTCAAATTTGACACCTTATCTGGTAGCCGTTAGATAAATAAAGATCAATGGTGTCACCTGTTTACAAATCAGAGCCATTGACATTTTTTGATCTAACGGCTACTAGATGAGGTATCAAATTTAAAATTTAATACTGATATCAAAGGATCCTATCTCATATATATATTTAGTGTCTATATCTAACATTGTTAAGCAGCTAAATATTCATGAGGAGAGGTCTAGGTCAACTTTATCACTCAAAAAATTGCTAATTAACGTTGGTTGGTTGGTGTGTGGTAGTTAAAATCTTGATTTATCATTATAATTTTATTTTTTTATAAAATTTTTCATCAAAATAATGTTCAATATTCAAAACACTTTTATATTTTTATGATTTTTTTATATTATAATTTTATGTTTTATGATTTTTTATTTCTTTTCTGAATTTATATAAAATCTTGATTTTAACGACTTTTAGTCTATTATATTTTTATTTTTTAATTTGGGTGCTTGTCTTGTCAAACATTCCAAAAAGTTTTCCTTATCATCGTATTGTGAAAGCAGTAAACAATTAGTTTCAACAGGAAGTATGCTTAGATTCAGGTTCAGACAGTATAGAAATTTCTTACTGTTATTCGAATATTTACTTGATTTGAGTTCTTAGCTTAAATTTAAAAAAGAAAGAAAAAACTCAAAGTGCCTTGGATTATACTAACTTTGATAAATGGAAAAATAATTTATTTTTAAATAATATAATTTTGTGTCATTTTAGATCCTAACATTGATTTTCGTCAATCAACGATTATAATTTATTAGGTCAAATTTATTAATTAATTAGTAATTCAGAATAAATTATAACTGCTAATTTACGAAAATTAATGATGAAGATTTAAAATCACATAAAATTATATCTTTTTACAAGATAAACAGTTTTCCCTTGAGAGATATGCTTGGATTAAGAAAAATATTTCTACATATGCTTGGATAAAGATTAGACTAACTTTTATTTTAAAAAGAAAATTTAAAAAGCAAAATAGATTAGAAATATAATGGTGGATCCCAGAGTTTCCATGAATCGTGGCATAATGAAGGGTGGTAATTTGCAATCCCCGTGATAATCATATGTTGGCGCGATTAATTGCAAATTTGCAATGCCCTTCTTACCTTGTGACGTGTCGTCTTGTAATGCTTTCCAAGCACACGTGGCCCTAGCCCATGGTTCTGTACTGTTAAAAAAAATTTTAGTACAAAGGACGGTGTAACGCTAATTTTATAGGAAATGGATTCTCAGAAGTGAAAAAAAATGTGAAAAATTATAATCATATAAAAATAAATTAATGATTATGATTTGTTAATTATCTATTTTAACATTTTTCTTCTCTTTTCTTTTATTAACAATAATCTATTTTTGTATAATTATAATTTTTCACAAGACATGATTATATGAATTTTGAGGTGAAAAGAGCATCCAGATTCAATTTTATAGTACCTCAACATAAAAAAAGGACATGGCTAACAAAAAGAAGAAGAATTCAAAAAGGGCCTTATCCACTTTCAGAAAATCAAAAAGAAGGGCCCAGCTGTGGCCCACAAAACGAGACCCTATTTTGTCACTTAGATAGACCTGGCCTATATACCATGTCCTTTCATTTTTATTTTTTAAATAAAAAATAAAAATCTTTTTTTCTTGGCAGCAAATCTCTCTTTTTTTAAAATATTATTAAGTTAAATAAATTCGAAAAAAGTTTTAATCTTATAAACATACATTTTTTATTTATTAGTAGTACTTAATTTACTCGAAGATTCTACCAATTTTTTTTTTTACTCGAAGATAAGATTGGAAACAGAAAAAAAAATTAACACGAATCCTCACTAGTCACTACAACTCAAACAATTCTGGCATATTTTTTTTTTAAAAGGAAAAATTAGGCCGACTTTTATTGATTTATGAAATCATTTTGTTAATATATTTTTCTTTAAAAGATATAATTATTTTTTATTTTATGATTCATTTTTAATGTACAACTCTATTAAAATTACAGAGATAGATAGATAAGTAATTCCAATTTTGAGGCTGATTGGTCAAATTGCTTTTTTATTAGAAAAATATGAATCAATATTGTTTTTCAAACCACATATTAATCTATTTCTTTTTTTTATCAAAGTTGAATAAAAATCCGAAACGGGGCCGACCTTGAAATCAATTTTTTTTTTTTATAAATAGAAATGTGGTGCGGTTCCATTTGCTTCTAGTATTTATTCAAATAAATGTGGAAGAATAATTTTAAATTAATAAAATTGACCAAACATTAAAATAGAAATTATTATTAATTTTACTAAGTTAAGTAATATTTAAATTTGTAAGTAATTTTTAATTGTTTATGCACTCTTTTGGAATCACGGCAAATTCAAAAAATCTGTTATCAATAATAATAATTCGACTATTATTGTTTTGGTTTAAACAATTCAATTCACTTGATTTTTTTTCATAAATCAGAAAATAAAAAATAATTTTGTATTTAAAATATAAATACAATTCTTAATTTATCTATTGATTATCAATTACTATAAGTTTAAAAATATTAATTTATTATGAATAATGACAACTCGATTATTTTTTTTTTATTGTTTGTAAAAAGAATTCACAATTCTTTTGCTATAATAAAAAAATTATATTAATATCATCGATAATAAATTTAAATTTTTGAGTTTATTAAAATTTTAAAATATAATTCTAATATGTACGAATTAATGTAATTTATTTATTTTATATAGTAATCCTAATTATTTTTTTGAGGAGATTCGGTCCCTGTATCCCCACAATGGGGATTTGACGTAATCTTTTTGTAAATTAGAAAAATGTAAATTAGAACAAAAGAAAACCATTAGTCATATTTTCATCATTAATAATCAATTTTATTATTTTATATTTTTAAAAATTGCAAAAAATTACGTTAAACAATTGAATTTTTTTTATAATTTTAAATATTATTTAATTTAATACATTTAAAATCAACTTTTCAATTTGATATTATTTTATTCTCAATATGGTCACTTTGGTTAATTCAATATAATGACTCAGTTACTGGACTCAATTTCGACGTCGTTTCAATAGTAATGGCTCCATTCACCGACGAGGAGAGACGCACCGTTTTTTGGCATCCTTGGAGCCGCAGCTGCCCTTGTCTTCTCCTGTAATTCATTCCCTAATTTCTCAATTATATCTGTGTTTCTGTTCTCATTATCTATTTTCAATTTGGTAGATTGATATTTTTTTTTCAAAAGGACAATTTAGTCTAACAGGACAATTTTAATGATTACAATAATTTTAAATAAAAGTTCGTTTTTTTAATGTAAATAATTTATTTACATTAAAGGTTTTATTAATGTCATCTTACATAACTTAAAGTTTTGTTTTTAACACACACAACAAAAAGGAGAGAAAAAGTGAAATGACGAAAGAGAAATAAAAACAAGTGGACTCTACCTCTTTAATGTGTGTGTAAAAAAATAAAGTTGTGTTATGTTACTTGATAAACATAAAACATTTACATCATATCTAAAATGACATCATTTTGAGATGAAAATGAAGTATCTTTATAATTTGAATTATAATTATTTTTTTTATTATAATTTTTTAATCTAAAACAACTTCATTTTGGGAGCAAATAAATATAACTTGGCTACCGTAGAAATATTAAACAAAAAAAATAACAATCTAATAAAAAAAAGTTACCAAAAGTTTCGTTTTTTTTTCGGTGGTCATTACGCGTTCGGTGATGAATTTTCAGTTTTGAGATATTCGGCGGCGACCGTATTTGAGGCAGTTTATTGATTTTCCGTCAATGTTTTCAGTTTCCAAACAACCTCTGTTTCCTTCCTTTGGATACTAATTATCACTATTATTGTTATTTATAACAATGGTATTGAAAAAGAATCCCTAGCCTCTCTCTTTACGCTTGGAATAACTTGCACTTTAAATTCTTTAATTTCTCATATAAACTGTGTTTTTTGTAGTTATGTTGAGGGATCAAAACAAACAAGTGATGGAGGTGCTTCTTGTTCAGTTGTTGAGGGTGGCTTGGATCACTGGTACATTGCCTATTATCATCGCTTCTATCCCCACTCCCAGGTTGACCTGGTTCCGTAGAACCTTGTTGGGGTTTGCTAGGAGGGGAAAGATCATGCACTCTTCCTCCCAAGTAACATTACATTCATTCCCTATTTACCCCTTTCATTTAATTTCATCTTTTATTTTAGCCAGTGTGCAAATTTATTATCTTTTACCCAAGGAATATAATGGGGTGAATGAAAGTTGAAATCTTTATCATATTGGGTTGCAGAAATTCACCGTTCCTCAGAGATTCTTCTTGCACTTCTATGTTGTGGCTTCCATATGGACAACGTTCCTACTTGTTACAACTTGGATATATGCTTACAGAATGGTACCATTGGTTTCAGAGCCATTTTCTTACTCTACTATCACCAGCTACTTGACTGGAGGCTCAAGTATAAGAACTGGTTCTGCTAAACTGCGCCAGACATATGTTGCCTGGCAAGCTGTTTTTCTGCTTTTGCTTGTGGACGTTCAAGTCCTCAGACGCCTTTATGAAACCATATATGTTTTTAATTATAGCTCCTCTGCTCGGATGCATATCTTTGGTTATCTCACTGGATTGTTGTAAGTTTGTTATCAATCTACTTCACTTATTACACTTGCTTTTTGAAGTTAGAAATTGGTTTCATTATGCTGAATTGCTAATGTGTGCAAAAGGCCTATTTTCTTCCAACAATGCTATTCTGTTTAGAGTTTTCCTATGAAATCTGTTGCTTCCTGTTTAGGTAATATAATTTGTGACATGACTGAATTGCTATAATTAAATGTCTCTCTTATCTGTGTTCTTAGATGACACAATATTACATAAATATTGATTGTAGCATTTCCTTCACTTGTATATTTCTTAGTTATGCCTGGTTATACTCAAGCAAATACTAAAACAAAGATGATTGATTTGTTATTTTTCTGAAGCTAGTTTCTACGTAGCAGCACCACTGTCGCTTTGTGGTGATTGTGCATTGGAGGTGTTTGACTTCCTAGTAAATCTAGTGACTGAGTTCATTGTCAAAGGCAAGAATCAGATGCCAGTTACAGAGTTCACAGAGTTCGAACTCTGGCAAGTTTTAAATCCTCTCGTCAAGCTTGGGTGGAAGCATTGGATTGCTGCGGCTGTTTTTTCATGGGGTTGGATACATCAATACCGATGCCATATGATTCTTGTATGCATCATCTACTTTGATTGACATCTAAATCTTCGTTTTGCAAAACATTAATATCAATTGATTTGACCACGTCCTCATAACTTCTAGTTGCTTTTCTTTTTATCCTCATGGCTCTTGTTGCTATCTATTTTCATTTCACTCAGATTATAATGCTAATGGTAACAAGTCACAATAGAGAGTGAACTGGGTCACAGAAGTTAAAAATATAGTTCATGAGTTTCTTTATTCACTTTGCATTGGGAACATTATTTGGCATTTAGTAAACTTATATCTATATGCAATGGTTCTTGAAAATAAAATATTGAAGTTTAAAGCAAATATGTCATTTTAGTAATGAGGAGGACTGTTATCTTAACATTCTTGCAATTTTTTTGTCATGCGGCTATCTGAGTTTTATAATTTTGCCAGGGTTCGCTACGGGATTCAAGACAAGTAGAGGAATATGTAATTCCTCGTGGCGATTGGTTTGAAATCGTGTCCTCTCCACATTATCTCTCTGAATTTGTAACCCTCTTTCTCTCTTTCTCTATTACTTCTACTGTTATGACTCATATGAATAAGCCTAATATTTGATAATGATGAAGGTTATATACGCTAGTTTTGTGGTCGCTACTGGAGGTTCCAATCTAACAATCTGGTTACTTTTTGTTTTTGTGGTAATATTTTCATTGCAGACTTAGCAAGATTTTAATATTTTAAACAAATGATTCTTTTATTTTGATTTGCTTTTTGCACATTTCTTTTATTGGGTGCAGGTGGCAAATCTTACATTTGCAGCTGTGGAAACTCATGGCTGGTATCGTCAAAAGTTCGAAGATTACCCAAGTAAACGGTTTGCTGTAATTCCATTTATTCTCTGAGATTGAGGCAATGTATAAGTATCACAACAGATTGATATTTTGTTATGTATATGTTTAGATTAAGATATTTTGTTTTTAGAAAAGCTTATAATTAAAACACCAAACATTCAGGTTCAGTATACTAATTTGCTTAAAATAACGGCGTACTAAGTGGTCACCGATGCGTTCAGTCTGGAAACTCGAGAAAATTTTGAAAACTATTTAAATTACTCGTTTATTTCCACAACTTTGTGAAACCAATAATTTCTCCGTATTGCGTACCCACTAAAAAAAATGTTAACATTCTAGATTTTTTTTGGGCTAAAAATACTATTCTTGATTTTACTTGAATGGAGCAACTAGAGAGAGAAAGAAACAAATCCAGCCATGAAGTAAAGCCCCATTGGGGAGGGAAACGATAGCTTAAGTTTGAAAGCCAGAATAAGGGATGCGTTGGTTTGAAGTCCAAGCACAACAAAACAAAAGAGCTTCTTCAGAAGACTGAAATTAAATTGGAATTGGAAATTATATTTAACTAACAACTAAAAAAATATTTGTTAACAATCTTATATTTAACGTTTGTAGTACCTAAGAAAAAAGAAATCTTCGAAATAGCTATTTCAATTTCAAAGTTCGTGCTTGAAATGCCGTCTATAATTAGAATTTCAGTTTGAAATAATAAAATGAGACTCTAAAATTCACACATGTAACGTAAAAATTTCAGCACACAGTACTATTTGCACACATGTAAAGTTACACCATTTTTTACAAATGTGTGTAGATATGTGTGCACGCAAGCGAGATGATTTTATCTCATAACATTAGAAATGTATTCGCTAAGATAATTTTACAATCATCACCTAGTTCTCACATAAGCAAACCAAAAGAGCTACTAAGGAGGGACTGAAAGATTTATGCCAAATCAGAATGTCAATACAAGTCTCAAGGTTGAACAACCAAAATGTTTTTGCATTGTTTGTAGGATCATAATACATGCTTGGAAGATCATAATACATGCTAAGAAAGGAAGGGCATTCTCACGCAAAAAGGTCTATGCCCCAAAATTTGGCTGGTTGATTAGTTCTATATTTCTTGTCCATGCTTCCGATTAGTTCCATGTCCTCTTTAGACAACTCAAAATCAAATACCTCGAAGTTCTGCTTCAATCTCTCCAGTTTTGATGTTTTAGGAATGACCACAGTGTTCCTTTGAATGCCCCAGCGAAGAACAACCTGTGCAGCAGTCTTTTTGTATTTTTCAGCCAGACCCTGAAATCAAAGAATTATAGACCCTGAAATTAGTCAAAGTCGCTTAATGGGCTGCCAATGACTGTTTATCGCGCTCTATTAATCAGTGTTTGAAAATAGTATTGATAACTCACTTTGAGAACTTGATCATCCAAACATGAAACTGAACCAAACCATTCTGTGTTTGCTGCAGCACCTCCTAGTGGAGTGTGGGCTGTGACACAAACCCCGTGTTTTTGACAAAATTTGACTAGAGAATCACGCTGGAAGTATGGATGAGTTTCAATCTGATTTACAGCAGGCTTTATCTTGGAATATGCTAAACAATCTCTGGTCAGAAAGATATCATAGTTGCTGCAAATAGCTCTTCGTCAGATTATAATTTTATTAAATAGAATCAACCATTTCTCAAATCAATACTAGGAACATCTAGTCCACAAAATTAAACATAGATGGGTGATCCAATACACTCCTCTTTCATTATGGTAGGCGAGACCAACAGCAACCAAAGACAACCAAGCCTTATCATTATCCCACTGGGTGTAGGTGATAATAGCTAAGCATGACCAAACGTGTGACAAGGGTGAATACACCAGCATATAAAAACTCTTGAATATGTATCATAGAAGTCAATAATTTTATTGCTTAATGACTTGGAGAGACCATTCGCAATGGTATGATGGATATACAAAGATACTTGGCCGCAAGTCTTTAATCATCTCCAAATAACATAAACTTGCATGCAGGAGTAGGAAGGTGTATTTAGAAACATGTGTGAATAATGATTGATGAGAGACAGTCGCTATGCTAATCTTCATGAACCTAAAAAGATTGGTTGTTTTATCTTTCTTCATTCTTGATATTACTATTTCCAAATGACTAGATAAAAGTTATCACATAAACTAGTAGTCATAAAAAGGATTTCCAGAGCATCAACTAGAGCATAGCAAAGATTGTTTACAGCACTAAATTGCACCTGATCCCAATGCTGCGAACCAAGCCCAATGAAACGAGTTCTTCCATCGCATGCCAGGTAGTTTCCAGGGATATGCTTGTATCTATGTCCAGGATACCATCCTCACCCAAAGCACTATCAGTTGTACCAACCCCTGTATGCGTGTGAAATATGACAAAATTATACACACAGAAAACATAAAAACGTACCTGACATCACTTGTTAAAAATTTCCAAATAAAATAATTCGATAGGTGATAATTTATGGAATTAAAGCTCACTGTATTTTCTGTAAGTAATGTTAAAACAATCTGGCTCAGTTAGATCATTCCTTTAAGAAGCCAACATTGATAAATGATAATATTACCATAGAATCACAAAAAGTAAATTCAAGGGACGCATAAGTAAGAAACCGAGATACCAGTATGCCTTGTGGCTACAGGAAAGTGAACAAGATATAAATCCAGATAATCTAACTGAAGCTTCTTGAGACTATCTTTACAGGCCTCAACAACGTGTCCATGATCAGAATTCCAAAGCTGAAATAAATGCCAACAAGGGTAAGATAGTAATTATCTGATTTCAGAGCAATCACCTTTACAGTACAAGACTGACCTTTGTGGTAATGAAAAGGTCCTCCCTCTTCACAAGGCCACTATCAAATGCCTCTTTAAGCGCCTCTCCAACTTCTGCTTCATTCTTGTAGTCAGCTGCAACTCATTTCAAATCTCATCAATCCATCATATTATACATGCTTTATCAACACATAATTTGAATGTTGGGGAAAAAAATAAAAATAAAACTACAAATAAGGTTATTTAGCAAAGTAAGTAACTTTTAACTATTCATTTAGGGATTAAAAATCCAAGAAAAGAAAGAAGCCAAAACTGGAAAAGATGGATGTTGGAAAAATAGCATACCAGCACAATCAAAATGACGATAACCGATTTTGATGGAACTGAGAATGAGGTCTCTGATTTCTTGTCCTTCCATGCGCCACACACCCAATCCTATGATGGGCATCTTGAAACCACTGTTCAGTGTTATTGCCATGTTTTCTCTTCCTTAGCTCCCGGTGAAGACTGTAACCACTGACCATGCTCAATTATACTATCTCCGCCTTCAATTTCGGGCCATTACTTTGGAATAGCCCAAGCCCATCAAGAAAAACGCGAAGAGCCCAACTTGACTGGTTTTTTATAACTAGGCTGGGCCGGTTTAACTAAGGTTCGGGTTATTTCTACCCGGACCAGTTGGGGCATCCGAGGATGTAATAAACTAACTATAAAAAAGAAAAAAGAAAAAAGAGCAATGATAGGTGGTGCAGTCACGTTCTCTTCACTCGTTGTACGGTAAACAGAGATTGGAACTTGGAAAACCTCTCTGTGACGAAATCGGAATATCTCACTTCTCCGATCAGATCTATTCGACGTCGTTTCAGTACGAATGGCTCCATTCAGCGGCGATGAGACGGCACCGTTTTTTGGCTTCCTTGGAGCCGCAGCTGCCCTTGTCTTCTCCTGTAATTCATTCCTTAATTTCTCAATTAGATCTGTGTTCATCTTTTCACGATCTCTTTTCAGTTTCGATTTTTAACGATATTTTAATGTTCGATGCGCGAAATTCTGACAGAATTATCTTTTATATTGTGGTTGTTGACTCTGTTAGTGCTTCGATCGTTTCTGTGGAGCAATTGTTGTTTGATTCAATAAGCTAATGCAAATCATAGATTGAGTTTTTATATATAAACGCTGAAATGTTATCAAAATGATCTCATGACCAAGTAGTCGTTTCTCCTATTATTTCTTGTAAGAATCTTCATTGTTTTGAAATTCCAAGGACAAAATAATTCTTATAGAAATTATTTCATGTAATTTTGAAAATGATTGGCAGAAGAACAGTTGGATTGTTTTAAATTATATAAAAAATTAAAAATTGGTAGCTTTTACGTTCTCTCAAGATTTATGTTACTAAGAGTTTCATTTGAATTGATGGAGAAAGGTATGGGAGCTGCTTATGGCACAGCAAAGAGTGGGGTGGGTGTGGCTTCTATGGGTGTGATGAGACCAGAGCTGGTGATGAAGTCTATTGTCCCTGTTGTCATGGCTGGAGTTTTGGGTATTTATGGCCTTATTATCGCTGTTATAATCAGTACAGGGATTAATCCAAAGGCTAAATCTTATTACCTCTTTGATGGTTATGCACATCTCTCCTCTGGCCTTGCCTGCGGGTTGGCTGGGCTTGCTGCTGGCATGGCTATTGGTATTGTTGGTGATGCTGGTGTTAGGTATAATTCTTCTTCCCTAGTAACTCATCTATGATTGAACTTGAAGCTGTTTTTAGGGACCCTTTTTGTTTTTTATTTGCCATGGTGCTAATGTCTACAGAATTCCACATTGACACTATGCTTTCTATCATTGAGTATATGCGTCTCTGAATTCTTAGTTACACTGCAGAACTGTTTTCTTAGGAAGTACATGTTAATATATCCCTAGCCTTTTTAACCATCAAATAGGGTATAATTCTCGATGGAACATATAATTTGCTGTTGCTATCTGCTAGCCTCCGTTTGTTATGAATTTGATATAGGGATACACCTTTTACAATAATTCCTAATATATTTCTTTCTTTGAATAATTAATCTACTCCTGCAGAGCCAACGCACAGCAGCCAAAACTTTTTGTTGGAATGATTCTCATCCTCATCTTTGCTGAAGCTCTTGCCCTGTATGGTCTCATTGTTGGTATTATCCTGTCTTCTCGTGCTGGCCAGTCTAGAGCTGATTAAGAAAAGAGCTATGCTGCAAAATATTTTTTGAACCACCCATCTGTTTTAACCTTGTTAAGAGGGCCATGCGGTAAATTTTTAGTTGTGAAGTTAGTGATGTTCGGACAGCATTTTGCAGGATTTAACAAATACTTGTTTATGTGGAAGCGATAGCTCCACCGGACATTTGGTGGTGTTTGTATAAGTAGTATTTCTTTTCTTAATAAAGCTTCTCAAGCTTCCTCTTTTTTCCTTATGAAATGTATTATGTCACATGATCCGAGTCTATTTTTTTTCACTGCTGCTGCTGAAATAGGTTCATGTAATGATTTGGTTGCGAATGTTACTCGTATGCATTAATGAGTCTTATCATACTGGATGCTGGTGTGAGGCTGCTTTGTGTTCTCAGTTATATAATTGACCTTCTAATCAAGAGAGAGCATTTTTTGAGTCGTGGTTATACTCTAAGATCATATCATTTTGAGTCATTTGATTGTTGAAGTAAGCTGAGAAGATGAAATGATCTTACTCGACAGAAATTTTAAGCAACAAGGGAACTTTTGGAGTAGTTAAGTTCGGTATAGTATTTGAGTATGGTAATTTTTCTTTTTATGACACAAGTGTAGCGAATTTACTCAGCTATAATTGAAAGATAAACAGAATTGAAATAAGAGTGATAATAACTATCAAGAGAAGCTCTGACCATGAAGGAAGATGAGAATTCTGGCTGAATTTATGCCTCTCTGTCATCCTTTTCTATCCCTTTAAAACCACTCAATATTCTTCAAATCTAAACCACGCTTATCTTTTTATGACCCTGTCAATCCCACGTGGCATAAGTGGTGTCGTCTAATTTAATGAGTTAGGATATTTTTCTAATTTTAAGCTTTTGGTGACGTGCTCTTTTGCTGTCATTTCTTGGATGGCAGAATATGCTTTCCCCTTTTTCGTCCTTGATGATCCTCTACAATTCCAATTGCTTATTAATTTTTTGCTTTGCTCGAGTCTGATTGAAATTATGTTGCATAATTACGTTTCTATTATTCAATGGAAAATTTGCTGCAAATAGCTAGAGGTAATTCTAGGTTCACCAATTCTTCGGATTATAACTGCGTCCATTATTCTGTTAGCTCTTTAGCTTCTAGTCCCATGTCCTCAATCCCAGCCTTATACATCTAAATATCAATGTGGCTTTAGTGGCTTAAGCAAACTGTGTCAACAATACGAGCGTAACTATGTAGCCTATATATCTTCTATTTTTATTTTTATTTTTATTTTTATTTTTATTTCGCGTTTTGCATACTAGGTCAGTACTAATTGAATTACAGTATTAGTGTAGTTATATATCATTGATTTGATTAAATATCTCAAGGATAAACAAAGCCTTAAATCATTGATCCATCACACACCCTTGGAGCAAATTAGTCTTAATTAGCCTTAAAAAAGTTTCTCGTTTAGTGAATAAAATCTAATCTCTTAGAATAAGATTAACCTTCAACAATGTTTTTTAAATACATGAATTTTGTTACCTTTTGATCTGGAGCTCTCCTTGATATCCAATAGCCATGGAACATATATGAAATTCAAGCTAAATCTATGTATTGTGGCTCACCAAAGCCATCTATGTAAGTTGCCATATTAAGACAGCATAGAGAGATCATGCCGTTATTGTCAAAAAGAAATTCAAAGCCAATGTATAATCATCTTTTTTCAATTTACTTAACATCATCGCTCAGAAAATTATCTTGAATATCAAAGTGTCTTTTCAGGTGCCAACCCTCACATGTCCCTAACAAATAAACTTCATCAGCATCAATACCATGATCCCTCAAAGACCATCCTGCGTAGAAGAGATCCCGTCACAATTATTCTTCAATCACCGGTTGGACCATAATTATATATGGTATAGACCCAACATTTTTTGCAATTGCAATGATCACTTTTCAATGGCTATTGATGGTTATAAGTGATGGTACATCGACATTTCAAAAAATTTGATATGTCCTATCCGATATACCGACACTTCTCAACACTCTGATATGCTCCCACATTTATAATATTTGAAATTTTATTACATATCATAAAAAATTGATCGATATTTTAATAAACTAATATAATAAAATTAAAAATAAATACCAAATATATCTCAATTTAAAAATATTGTAGTAAATATTTACATCTTATATTTTTTTGTAAAATTGATGGGGTATTATAAGTTTAGTTTCATTTTTTTGTTAAATTATTGAATATTAAATACAATATACACTACATAAATTAAAAATATTATTTAATATCAAAACGTGTCCTAACGTATCAAAATCTAATATTTTTTAAAATTAACATATTAAAATATTGTCTTATATTATGTTCCGTATCCCGTATCAATATCGGTGCAACATAAATTATAAGATAATCAAAATATGTGTAGACGGCGAAAAAAAAAAACCATAAAAAAAGCAAATAAACATTTGATGATAAGGTGACAAGTTAAAGGTACAAGCTCATTAACGTTTGTTAACTTGTTTGGAATATAATTAAATACTGTTTTGAAAATTAAATAAATAATCGCAAAAAAATGTGAATCAATTGATAAAGGATTGTTCTAGTTTAATTAGTATTTCGAGTTGAAGTGTTTGAAGACAAAATTATGTTAAAATTTGATAGTGAGATTTGTGTAGTTTATCTATCTTATTCGGCTTAAATTGAAGTAGTCGAATAATCTTTAAACCAATTGATAATATAAATAATAATAATAATAATAATAAACAAATACTCGACAAGGCCTCGCTTACGAACTGTTGCGAGTGTCGTACAACTCAAAGCGAGAAAAGTAAGTAAATAAGTGATGGATATAGAAACGGTGGTTGCTGTGGCTCCAGATTATACACGAAACTAGACAATAATATTTCATTTACACACACTCCATCTTTGTTGCTGAAAAGTAAGAGCAATATCATCTTGGTTTTCCTTGCTAATAAGTACAACACCAAACTCAGTTAAATCTCATCAATGGAAATCTGTGGAGCCACAATTCTGACGTGGTCACACACCGTTTCTCCTTCTCTTCATCTTCCTCGACCCCTCTCAGTGAGTTCATTTTTTCCAATTCTTCATTCCATCAAATTCTTTTCCTTTTATATACATTTTCTCAGTGTTGCATTGGCTAACCATTCCATTTTACTAGGCCAGGGAGGCTAGGAGGTTCAGGGTTTGGTGTGCCTCTGATAAAAACTCCAAGGTATGTGTGCTTCCCATCTGAATAGTCTTTTCAAATGGTGTTTTTGTCCAACTTTTGCATCATGTCAAGGTATTCTACTATTTTCTTTGCCCTTGTAGGGATAATAATAATTGTAAATGGGACTGTTCTAGTTGTTGTTAATTTTGTGTTCTAATAATCAACTTAGGCTTCTCTTGACCTTGCTTTTACAAACCTGATACTGGGTTAGGATTAATAAGCTCTAAATGTTCCAAATTCCAATTAAGTAAGTATTTCATTGGCTGCATTTTCATGGAGTGCCACCCGTGAATTTAAAGAACCAATTCAACCCAAAAGCTTAAGCTGTTGGGTGAGACTACATTAATGATTTTAATATCTCAACACGTGAATTTAAAAAGGGATGAGCTATGCAACTTTGTATACCTTGTTAAGCATTGGTAATAACTTATAATTACTTTAAGGTCCGCAATATTACATTTGGCATCCGTATGTCTGGGAAGCATGACCTCTATTAAATGTTATATTAGTAATTTGCAGATTAAGAATGTTATTTAAATATTCACAATTTTATGTTTGGCTTTTCTAATTGGTTGTTTAGGTTCCTTCAAGATCATTATCACTTCAATTGTTTTTGCAGGGAAATCAAATGATCATATCTGTAACTGGAGCAACTGGTTTTATAGGTAGAAGGTTGGTGCAAAGGCTGCATGCAGGTTATCCCCTATCTCAGGCTCTAACTTACTATGCCCTTTCACATTTGCTTTACGATATATGATTATATGCCCTTTTATTTTGGTATGTTAATATAAAGCATTTTCCTAGTGCTCTCATATATATCTAGATTTCAAATTTATTTTTCCATTCCTGTATTTCGTTTACTGTGAAAGGTGCATTGTGGTTATCCTGTACACGTCCTAGTTCCTCTCTTATGTTGCAAAATATATACAACGTATAAACTTCAAGCCTCTTAAGTCAAGCAACTGGTTAATAGTTGCATCATGTGGACAATATAGCTTCCTTATATCAATACCCTGCATGATGAATCTGTAGAATTCCTGGATTTTCTTAGATCTCTTGCTTGCCTATTTATATCATTTGAACTCTCAGCTTCTGCTGGTATATGTATAACAATTAAGGTAACTTTATGTTCTTAACTAACAATATTTGCAGACAACCATAGTGTTCATGTCTTGACGCGCTCCAAATCTAAAGCAGAATCAGTTTTTCCGGGTAAGAAGGTAATTAATTGATGTAATAATTGTATTAACACTCAGTTTGCGAAAACATATACTCACAAAAACTTTCACAACTGGAAACTTTTTCAAGAGATCAAAGTGACGCTTCAACTTCACTAAGGGCAGAGTACCTTCAATTTATAAATACAATATTTGTTGTTGGTGTTAATTCCTACATAATTTGGATTCCACCAGTATTAAATTCTAGTTTTATCTTCCTCATAATGGTAGAAAAATTAATAATTTTCTGCACAACCAGGCTCTATGTCAGACATTTTCTACACTTTGGATTAACTTGTTAACTCTGCCCTCGTATTTCCAGTAAAAGACTTTCCAGGAATTAAGATTGCAGAGGAGCCAGAATGGAAAGATAGCATTCAGGGCTCAACGGGAGTTGTGAATTTGGCTGGATTGCCCATCAGTACCAGATGGTCTTCTGAGGTTATTGTCATGTTCTTATCACTTCCACTATTTAAATGATTTAGACTTGAACTTACACCTAGTTTGTAGTTATTTTTTGCCTTGCCTCTGTTAGAACTAATTTGAGTTCATTGTCTGCTTGCTGCCATGCATGTCTTTCTTTTCCAATTGTGCAGGAAACCTTGGCAACCTTTATATTTTTGGAAGTTTTATTGAAATAACAAAATTTATATATATATATATATCCTACACTCTCAAATGATCAATAGTATATCAATGTATATATTGGCGATTTTTGCTGTCCTGAACACTGGTGTAAAGTGTAAACAGCTGAACATTATTTCTTAGATCCCATTAACAGTCAATACATACAGTATACTCTGTTTGTCTTTTTATCTGTCTTTATTCTCCTGCATTTGGGTGCTGATAAAATGAGCACATGCATAACTCCAAAAGGAATACATTTGTTTTAATGCTGCAGATAAAGAAAGAAATCAAGCAGAGCAGGATTAGAGTGACATCAAAGGTAAGCATACATTTCCCGTTGAAGGAAGATGAAAATAAATATAATTTTTTTTAATTTTCTTTTGGTAAAAATTATATATGCATCAACATAAGATACAGTTATTTACATGAACCATTGCTTATTCTTCCTCTGACCTATTCACTTCATAGCAAAGGTTGTAGAATTGATAAACAGTGCACCAGATGAAATTCGACCTAAAGTTTTGGTTAGTGCAACAGCTGTTGGCTATTATGGTATGTTTGTATGCCAAAACTGGTTCTCTACTGGTTTCTTGTTTGTTAATTAATATCATCGTTGGTTGTAAATGCTTTGGTTAGCAAATGTGAATATTTTTTAAGCATATTTTATGATCACTGAATTGTTTAATGACTATGCATGATTTTGTGTATAAAATACGTCTTTCATTTTCTTTTCACTTCACTATGTTCAGGCACCAGTGAGACGCAAGTCTTTGATGAACAAAGTCCATCAGGAAGGGATTACTTGGCTGAGGTAAAAAATAAAAATAAAAATTGCTGTTACCATAGCAAAAAATGTTAGATCTTAAAATCTCATAATAAAATAGGAAAATCAAGTTTGCTTTGCTGAAGGAATATTTTGAGAGTACTACTCAAGAATTTCTCATGGATATTGATCTTTCTTGTTTAATGTTTTCTTAAAAAGATGGTGTTGAATCTCTTAATAGATGGAGTTACAAACATTGTAGTTTTAATGGATGTACTACATACTTAGCTTTTTTGTCTATTTTTCCTTTGAAAAGGCTGTTTCTGGGAATTCAGTTCAATGGAATTGATATTTTCTAGTCAAAAAGGTTATTGAAACTGGTCTACCTTGGTTTTGGGTATTTAAGTCACTTGAAAACGCCTACAAAATATATTAATTTGTTAAAATTGCAACAATGAACTCAATTTCTACTTCAAAATCACGACAAGCTCCTTCTTTGGTCATGAGTCCCAGACAAATGATATGAAATTTGAGACTTGAACCTTAGAAATGTCCAGTACACGTCCATAGGGTTCATCTAGTTATGTTTTTCTTCTTAATTTACTAAATAAACATTCTTTTGATCCTCTAGAACTTAGGGATGAATTAATTTTTGTGATTACATAACCATTAAACTGAGATTTTGAATTGAAGTATGTAAGTGTAGCTGCCAAATTGTGCATATTTGTTAGAATTAGTGGATTCCAGTCAGTTTCCCTTTTGGCTTGAAATACTGTGGAACTTGAAGTCTTAATAAATGAATAATAGCCCTTAAGATGTTTTTCGAATAGGTGAAACATTTTGCAATGTACAATTGTAGCTTCAAGATTGCATTGACCAAAACTGTCACATCTTTTCAGGTTTGTAGAGAATGGGAATCAACAGCCCTAAGGGTAAATGGAGATGTTAGAGTGGCTCTAATTCGCATTGGTGTTGTTCTTGGTAAAGATGGTGGAGCACTAGGTATTGACTTTTTGACTACATTCTTCTGGCCTTGAATTTACTATTTGACATCCAATATTATCCACTTATCTAGTTAGGCTTTATGGTGTGTTAATGTGTTAGGCTTCTGAATAGGAGGGTCTTGCAAAATCTTTTGTGTAGGCTTTTTCACCACTATAGCCTTTTTTTAATAATTAATTATCAAATTGACCCTATTTATAAACTTTTTAAAAAATTTAACGTCTTCAGAAAACATAACACCAATCTGCCCCTGTTTGACCGTTGACCATGAAGCCTACCCGGGTACACCCCTCCCTACCCGGGTATATTTCTTGTATCTGGAAAAAGTTTGAATTATTTACCCGGATAGAGAGGGGTGTACCCGGGTAAATAATCATACCCTTTCATGCCGATTGATTATTTATATGATTATGGGTTATAAAGAAGCAGAGAAAATATGGAATATTATGGGAATCTCATTATGCAAAAGTCAGTAAAATCAAAGGTGATATTTTCAGCTAAATGTTCGATGGCTTGTTGGGTCAACTTCTCTTTGCAAGAAGACAAATCCTACCTGCGCACACTGAACAAAAGTAATCAGATGGGTTAGTCAAAAATAGCTATAGAAAAGAGGAGGGAAAGTTGGTAGCTTTAGAATCTTTTTTCTAAGCATGAAACAAGAGGGTGCAAGGATCAAAGAGGCTCAAAGAAATCAAACATTAAAAGGGGAAGGTTTATCTCTACAAAGCCTAAAGATGCTATATAATCAGAATAAGGGTGCAGGCTTTGGAGCAGAAGATTGTCATGGCTAATGTTAAAAAAAAAATTTACTGTATAACAAAGGAAATTCCAACAGAGGATGGGAAGCGTGAAAGGATAGGGAGCAGGAATGGAGCATGGGAGAGGATATAGAAAAAGACCCAAGCTTGGTCAACCTTGGCAATAACCCACATAAAAAACAAACTATGTCTAAAGTATGATAAAAAGAGAGGCATCAGGTTTAAAAAAAAGAAAAAAAAGGAAGAAGCCACGAAGAGGGAGCGGAAGTTATTTTTATATAAGGAGGGCGATCGATTCAGAAAAAAAAGGGGAGTGATATTTTTATCTAAGGGGAGCCTCAATTTTTATTTGAGTGAAGAAAAACCAAGGGAAGAGGGGAAGAGACCTACCCATTCTTCCATCCTCAACCACCATTAACCTCACAATTCCCTTCACCATGGAAGACCAAAAAAAAAAATGAAAAATTAGAGTTGGAGGAGAAGAGAGAATACAGGGACTGAAAGAAGAAAGGACTCGTAGCTCCTTCTTGAACACACCATCATCCTTAGTTTTAATAGTCTCACTGTCATCGCAAACCCAAATCACTAGTACCAGAAGCCTCATAACATAGACCAGAACCTCTTAAATATATGATTATTTACCCGGGTACACTTCTCCCTACCCGGGTAAATAATTCAAACTTTTTCCAGATTCAAGAAATATACCCGGGTAGGGAGGGATATACCGGGTAGGCTTCATGGTCAACGGTCAAACAGGAGCAGATTGGTGTTATGTTTTCTGAGGAGGTTAAATTTTTGAAATAGTTTATAAATAGGGTCAATTTGATAATTAATTATTAAAAAAAAGGCTATAGTGGTCAAAAAGCCCTTTTGTGTAATACTAGCTGTTTTATCATACAAAAAAAAAATATCTATAATGATTTGTAATTCTTGAAATTCATGATATTGTCTGGGTTTAACTGATAATTTAATCTTTGAGTCTCTGCAGCTAAAATGATACCTATCTTCATGATGTTTGCTGGTGGACCTCTAGGCTCTGGAAAACAGTGGTATTTCACTCAGTTTCTTGCGCTTGTAAGAGGTTGCTTTGTAGTTCTGTTAATCGATTACTTAGACACTAGATTCATGAAGCAATTTCCAACTCCACCCCGGTGTGTTGTGTAATGTGTATAATGCAAAACAACTCTATTTACAGCTAGGCTGTCTTTGATATGACATGTAGTTATTTCTCATATTAAATTCAATTTACTAATGTTAGAGTGCAAATGTGTTATGAATTGGGTTTTGGTTGCGTCTTGATTTATGGGTAGATGTTATGATTGCGTGGCCTTTTATTTTTTTCATACAGGTTCTCCTGGATTCATTTGGATGACATTGTCAATTTAATATATGAAGCACTATCAAATCCATCTTACAAAGGTGATTATTCACTCCCATATCTCCAAAGTGAAATATATCAAAATTCTTAAAAAATTGCGAAACAAATAATGGATCCTGGAGATTGTATAGCATAGACTTGTTTTAATCTGATAATCCATTTTCCATGTATTACATTAACCTCCCGCAACAATTAAACTGTAAATTGTGCTTTTCCTTTGATATTACTGCCATCTAGCCCTCGCTTCACCAATTATCACAATGGATATATTTCCATTTTGAATGGTTATATTTTCTTTTTAATGACTTCGGTTTTGATTCTGATTGTTAGAGAAATATAAAAACCATTAATAAGCTCACTTGACAACCTAAGATTTTGGATTGAATTAATTATTTAGATGATATACTAAGTGGTCACAATTAGAGCATTGTCATGAATCAATGTTTATGAATGTTTGTATCAGGAGTTATCAATGGAACCGCACCAAATCCTGTGAAATTGTCAGAGTTGTGTGACCAGCTGGGACATGTCTTGGGTCGTCCCTCATGGCTGCCCGTACCCGACTTTGCACTCAAAGCTGTTCTTGGAGAAGGTGCTTCTGTGGTAAGGACTAAGGAGTCATCATCTCTGGTTAATTTGTCTTCAGTCTATATATATTCTACTATGAATTTCTTGAAATGCACCGTTAATCTCTCTTTGTAGGTTTTAGAAGGGCAGAGGGTGCTACCTACTCAAGCCAAGAAGTTGGGTTTCCCATTCAAATATTCTTACGTGAAGGATGCCCTTAAGGCAATTCTTTCGTGAAGCAATTTTAGCATAGAAATTGTCATATTCTTTATTCTTTGGACTCATGCACTCTCGTTGCCAAGACATTGGTGGCATTCACCGTATTGAGATTTTTGAAATCTGTATACCTCTAAATTGTGGTTGAATTTAGTTAATTATCATGATTGTTCCACCATTTGCCATTATCCATATCTTCCTAGAGCTAGCTTTTGTAATCGACACTGCAATTGATCGTTTACAATATCCGTTGTCGTTAACAATTAATAATTGAACAACGTTGCAACGCAATTACAATGCACATTTAGAAAGTGAGCTGAAAGAGGCCAAAACACCACTTTTATTTTCCTTTTCAGTCCGAATTTTTTTTCTAATTATCCTTTAATACACAACTGAGTCAAGCTCTTTCCCAGCTTGTCCCGTGCTCATTATTTTCTCTTTCAAATTCTATTTTAAAGACAACAAAAAGTTATTATATTGAGTATTATATAAAATTATCCATTTATCTCCAACAATTATCCAAAAAAATTTAAAAAAATATTTGTGTAAATTTATGAAAAAAACAAAAATTGGTGTAATATTTTAAAGTATGTCGGGCACAAGTTTATCCATAACTTTTATCCAACAATTTATTAGTTTTTTTTTTTTTAATTTGTTTATTGAGGTACAAACATTTACATTGAAAGCTATAAATCCTAACTTGTCAAAGTCTGGGCATTGGTACTTAATTGGATTTGGCCGTTACCGTTGGCTCCGTCGGCGGCGGCGTCACTGGTGTTTGGTTTACTGCTGAAATTACCGAAAGACCCTTCTATTTCCTCAAGAGTCTTGCCTCGTGTTTCAGGGAGCAGAGTATAGTGAAAGATCCACGCGGCAATTGCAATTCCCGCAAAAAGAAAGAAAGCGCCCCCAATGGTGATGGCTTTAGAGAGGGACAGAAAAGTCATTGAGATAACCCCACTGGTGACCCTATTCACCACAGCTCCAATCGCCACACCCTGAGCGCGCAGCCTGAGCGGAAAAATCTCCGAGCTATAAACCCACGTGATGGGACCCGACCCAATAGAGAACGTGCCCACATATGATAACACCGCAGCTACGCTGAGCCCAATGGCCCACGTTAGCGTGGTGCGCGAATGATCCACAATAGTGAGACTAACCGCAAGCGTTACAAGCGAGACTACCAACCCGCCAACACTGCTCAACAGCAACACGCGCCGCCCGACCCGGTCCAACAAAAACGTAGCCACCAAGATGAAGATGGTCTTCACGAATCCAACGGCTACCGTTGCGAGAAGCTTATTCCTATCGGACTTGATCCCAGCCTTGTCGAAGATTCTGGGACTATACAAAACGACAGCGTCTATGCCAGTAGCTTGTGCGAAGAAGTGAATCCCAAGGGACGCAATAAAAATGTGACGAACCGCGGGCGTTGGATGAAGCAACAGTTCTTTCCATACGCCTTTGCCTTGAACTTGTTTGGTTACTGCAACGACGTCGTCTTCGTTGCAGTCTTGGGGGATCCCAGCCGTTTGTTTAATATCAGTTAGCCTTAGCTGAGCCTCTTCCTTAGAATCTGAGATTTTGTTGAGAACTTTCGTGGCTTCCCCTAATCTACCCTTAGCAACGAGCCACCTAGGTGACTCGGGCATGGCTAACACTGCAACAGCTAAGAATATAGAAGGAATTGCACCGATTCCAAGCATTAATCGCCAACCCAAGCGCAGTGGCAACTTAGAAAATGCATAGTTTGATATATATCCAATTAAAATCCCTCCGTTGAGAAATACCTGAAAATAACGCATCATTTAATTTAATTGCTGAAGATTAAAAATAAAAAAAGAGAGGACAAAAGAGTATATATGAGTATATATATATATATAGAAAAAAATGAAATTAGTGCACTACGTTTTTCCGCGAGAACATAGTGCAAAAAATATTACGAGAACAGTTATAATTTTACTACAATGTTGTTTTTCCGGGAGAACAGTTATAATTTTACTATAATTGTGTTCTCGCGAAAGAAGATAGTGCAACTGTACCCATTTTTACATCCTGTACAATCACTGAATCTATATATATATATATATATATATATATATAATCATCAATTGCCAATAAATGATAACCGTTGATTGGCGGAAATCAACGGTTAGGATTTGGTGTCAAATTTCAAAATTTGACACCAGTGTCAATGGATCCTATCCCATATATATATATATAAAACGAAAAAAGCACCTCAGGCAAGGAAGTGAGGAAGCCACGTGAGGAAGTTGGGGAGATTTCGGAAGTGTAAACGGGGCCAATGAGGAAGGCGAAACCGATTCCGATGCCGGCGACGAAGCGACCAAACATGAGAAATGCATAGTTGGGAGAAAATCCCATAAGGATTGCTCCGGCGAAGAAGATGACGCCGGCGAGGACAATCGTGTAACGCCGACCGATCCAATCGGAGGTTCTGCCGGCGATGAAAGAGCCTATGGGAGAGTAGAGGTTTATGATGCCGGAGAGGATTTCGATTTGAACGTCGGTGATTTTGAGGTCTCTTTTTATATAGATGGCTGCTCCACTCATCACACCAATATCTGTAACATCGTATGCCCAAGTTAATTAAATGGGTTTCACAACGTTTTCAGCATATACTATGATAATTTCACGCATGCAGCGGTACTAGACAACCTAATGGTAGTTAGAGTAACAGAAATGAATGGTTACTTTTTATATATATGACTCACCGTAACCGAGTAGGATGGAAGTCATGGAAGCCAAAATTGCACAAGCAAAGGCATACTTGTTCCTTTTGGGCTTCTTTTGAGGATCAAAATCCTGTATAGTTTTCCGAGCTGCTGCTTCAGCTTCAGCCATCTTTGAGTAATTTGGATTTGGTCACGAAAGCATTCTATTTAACTGGTCCATTTCTTCAGGGATTGACTCACAAATTCAATCCATTAACTCATAAATTTAAGTTACATAAAATAGAGTTGTCATGGGTTAGAATGAGTTAGTCCGTCAGGTTGTTTTTAATTGAATCAAGTCATTAATTTTCTGTTATTATATTATTTTGACACTATTTGTAATTACACTTATAGATTATTTTATCTATTTTTTTTTAATGTTATTTATCAATTTCCAATATTGTTATATCATGAGGAGAAAGAAATAATAAAAGTTAGTTGATATTTTGATATAAATATATTGAAGAGTGAAAAGCAGCAAGATAGGCATTAAAAAAATAAGTAAAATAACTTATCCTTAATTTATATTCACTAAAAATAATATTTGATAATTTAATATTTCTCATGTTACAGAAAATAATTTTATCTTTTATATATATATATAAAAATATTTAATATTCACCGTATGAAGAGAAAAGAGATAAAAAAAAAATATGAGACTCACATATTTTATATGTGCCAAAAATAAAAGTATTTCATACATTAAACCTAAAAAAAATGACTGCGTGTTTTCAATTATTTAAAAAATAATAATCTAACCATTCCACTCTTATCAAAGATGGGTGGGAACGTATGTGACATGTGAGCTAGTACAAGCCCCATTTCCCGATTTTCAGCCTGTGAGTGTGGATTGTGGTCCACTCTTAGCTCTTGACTAAAATGTCCAATAATTGTAACCAAACAAAAAAATGTGCCAATAATTGTAATGAATATTATAAAAATCGAATCGATTCACTCAGGTTAAGTCGAAACTGATAAATTGGACATGTATCGATCGGATTTTTATATTGGATCGGTCGTATTATAAGATTGGCGTGATTCGATGGGTTTTAATAAAAATTAATGATCTGATCGATTCAACCAGTGTCATGGCTTGATTTGTTAAAAAAATACACTAATTTATTCTTTTAAAATATTTGATTGATTTGTAGCTTATTAATTTACGTAAATTATGTACCTGCAACACTAATATTATCTTTGTTATGTAATATGTAGAGAATTTTGATTTGATTTATAGTTAAAAATATTGTTTACTGAACCAGAAACATCAGTATAACAAATATTATATGTTTGATTACTCTTTTATTGGACAATTATGTGTAATTTATTATTTTTCATATTAAAATATCTGAAATTGATATTTTTTTTACAGGTATTTAAGTATATTTATATTTTTTAATATAAATTATAGATTTACATATATTTATCGGGTCATGCAGTTGAATCGGTGACTCACTGATTGAACCAGTGACCCAGTATCTCAATCAGTTCTATAACCGATCCAAATTTAATAACATCGATTGTAACCAAAGAAACGCGCAATGATTATTTAAATAGAATTTTAATTTAATTCCTGAAAATATTATAGTATCTGTAACATTAGTATTTGAAAAATAAAAATTATCACAAAAAATCTTATACATGTTATCAGTTGAATTAGTCTATAATTTCCTTAAGGATTAACGACGGAATGTATATTTTAAAAACAGAATTAATATTTATCATGTTATATTTCTTACCACACTCGTAAAAGTATAGAATTTTATGTAAGGAAATACGAAAAGAAAAGAAGAGAGAGAGAAATATGGACTCCATATACTTGCATTAAAAAATAAAATTATCTCTTACAATATCATAAACACTAATCCTTTTAAAAACTTGTGTCGTATCTTTATCATTCATAAACTAGGGGAAAGATATTGTAACAACTAAGTTGTGTTACTATCAAGTTACTATCAATCAATTTCACCGTTAGATCGATTATGTTAATCCAACGGTCTATGAAGCACCGACACTTCTAAAACCTTGACGTGTCGTGTCCGACACTTCCCGACACTCTCCGACACTCCGACACTTCCCGACACTCCAACACGCGTTATAGAAATTCAAAAAAAGGTTCAAAGGTTACGTTGCGTTGAGTTTTTAATTCCAACTATTAGATTCGTTGGATTACGATTACCATTATATTGAATTTAATATAAATATTTGGGAAAATCTTATGTTTTTTTTGCAAAATTGATGAATATTATAAATTTATTTTCGTTTTTTATTAAATTATTGAATATTTAATATAATATACACTACATAAATTAAAAATATTATTTAATATCAAAACGTGTCCTAACGTGTCGAAATCTAATATTTTTTAGAATTAACGTGTCGGAGTGTCGTGTCGTATCGTGTCACGTGTCCCGTGTCAGTATCGGTGCTACATAGCCAACGGTTATGTTTATTTCCATCTTTATATGGTCATGATTTTCCAAATTTAATACTTTATATTTATTTTCACCTTTATATAGTTATGATTTCTCATATTTAATGCTTTCAGTTTAAATATGGAGAATCGTAACCATACAAATATGAAAATAAATATAACCGTTAGATTAATATAATCGATCTAACGATGAATTTGATTGATAGTAACATAATAGTAACACAATTTGATTGTTACAATATCATTTTCCCATAAACTAATATGAACGACACGGCTCTAATTTAATTATTATTTATTATTTCAATTCCCAGTAGTAATAAGTAACTGTTGTATATCTTTAAAATGCTTTCCCAAATTAACGAATCTGATCGTTTTCCAATGATACGTATTAATTATAGAGTAGGATATCTTTACTACTAATTTTTTGTCAATTTTATCTTACACAATTTTATTTAAAAGAACAAACATACGTATATGTCATTGTAGATAAGGAAATTGAAGAGTACTTTTTAAATGGACCAGAAGGGAAATGAACAAACATACGTATATGTCATTGTAGATAAGGAAAATGACAAACAGACTCACTATGTTCCCTTATTGATTAGGAATATGACAAATTAAATGGACCCCAATGTAGAAGCTTGACCTGTTGACCACGTACTGTCATTATAGATAAGGAAATTGAAGAGTTCTATTCTATCACGGGTACAATTTGAGTTACAGCTTTGCTCAGTGCAATCCCAGTATAGTAGTTGCATCTTTTTGGTTTCTGAACATGAGAGTATAAATTACAAAAAATATTGTAAAATAGTAATAAAGCGTATGTCAATCCAGAATAGTCTTGCTATCATTGCTGATTAAAAAAGGCAATGGTTTTCTCCTGGAGAAAATAAATGCTTTCCTGGCAAAAAAAAAGGGCCATTGATTTATGTTCTGAAGGCCCAATGCCATATGATCCAGTGACCAAAGTCTAAATCTTTTTTCCTTATCTATATCACTCCCATCAACCCTCCATTCTCTTTGTCTCCAAGGCGACTACGTTATTTAGGTGAAATATCAAAATATCTCATCTTGAAACTTTAACTTTATGAGAGATCACTTCAGACACTATAAATAGTAACTACCTCATTGTCATGCACTGACATCGTCGGTTACAAGAGTTGCATCACTGTTATCATAGTAATGTCAGTCACCCTTAACTGATCCCAAGGAGGGTTGATCTCCTCTCACCAACCCGCACAGGATCGACATCTCCTTCCCCTATAAATACCCCTCTCCACACACAAGGAGGGGTATCTTATGTATCATTATTCTGTCCATATTCCTTGAGTCACATACTCATACTCTCCCTCCTCCCCCATTATCACCCGTTAATATTCATACTTGGGACAGTGCCTTCTAGCTTGGTCTTTATCTCTGTTCGAGGTATAACCCATACAATGACTCCATCCCAGAAAGGAACATAGTGAGATTATAAAACTCAACGGTATAATTTATATATAAAAAAAGCTCAGAATTTAATGTATGTATGAGAACTGTTTATTTTCTAATGTGAAGGAAAAAAATCATTATCCTTAAAAAAAACTCGGCTAGTTCATTTAGTGAGCTATTTAAAAAAATATCTTATTAGTACCCAAAAAAAAAAAATCTTATTATTAACTAGTTTTCAATGAAATTTAGTTAATGAAAAGGTAATAACCTTACCTCCCAATACATTTCCCTTAAACCTCATAAATATAGTTTGAAAAGGTAATTAATGAAACGTGAGGAAACTCATAACTACTTATTTAAACTTTCTTAATTTTTGTATTTTTTATTTGGGATAGGTTATTCTACTTATCATTCTATCTGTCTACCTTTACCTACCACTCTAAAACACTATTTGATCAGAATCTTGAGTAATATTTATCTTTCTCTCTTCTTTAGATTCTGATCTAATGGTGTTGGAGGATGATAGACAAAGGTAGGCAGAAAAATGATAGATAGAATAATCTATCCCTTTTTATTTTTGTATAAAAATTACAACTTAAACTTTTTGAATTCTGAGTTAAATTCTAAATAGCAGGTAACATGAAAAAGGAATAGGTTATTCTGTTCTGCCTATTCTTATTTTGCCTACATTTACCTACCCCTTTTAATACCGTTAAATGGTGGAGATTTATTATATAAAATAAACTCTTTTATTCCTTTCTCTCTCTCATTGTCTCTCATTCTTTCTCTCTCCTCTCCTTTCTCTCTCTTTAATCGCGCTTCAACATCAAAAAAATGTACAAATTTTTTAGTCAATTCATCCAACCCAGCCACTGTTATGAACATTTACATAAAAAATTGAAAAGGGATGTCAAGAAGAAACCAACGCAGATGCCCTATGTTATGAGATCAGGTATACATGTTGTTGGGCGTAACATAGAAATAGAACATAGATCATTTCCCCACTTCAAGGTGAAAAACAAGATAAGAAAAAGAAGGAGATAAATTGATTCGATATTAAATTTCAACAGCAAAATAGAAACGTTACGGTAATCGTGGATTAATTCAATGGAAGAGATTCTTCGTGGTTTTTATTTTTTTGTATTTTTGTGATTTCTGTCGTGTTCAATTATATCAGATTCAAGGAATTTTGAAAATTATATTTATCCAGCAGAAATATCATGCCATTAATCATTGATTGGATTTAGATTCAAATATAAATTCATATTGTAAATTAGGCAAATTGATAGAGAGAAAAGGGAGGAGAGAGAAAGAGTGTGAGAGGTAGTAAAGAGAAAGAAAGGATAAAA